AGAAGGAACAGCAAATGCAGGGTGTGTCTGGCATTTTTGTGGAATAAGTAAACCAATATGTAAGTAAGCTAATAAGTATGCCAATATGGCTAGAGTAGACAGAGTAAGAGGGAAGGTAGAAGGGAATTAAATCAGGAAGGATACCAGGTGTCAGTTCATATTGGAACTATGGACTGTGATAGACACTGCTGTCATTCTCAATGAGGTAAGAGACCATTAGTGACTCTGCAGGTTATTTTTTTAAAATATCACTCTATTTACTATGTATAGAAAAGATTATGGTAGAGGAGACAGAGTGGAGACAGCAAAATTAATTAGGAGGTATGATAGTAACACAGGTGAGAGAGCAGTAGATTGACATAATTTTTGGGTAGAAATTAAAAGAAGTAGTCAGGCTCTCTCTTTTGTGTGTGTATGTTTATGCTGCAGTGGAGACTGAACCCAGGGTCTTGTACATGCTAGTACTTGCAAAGGGATAAAAGGGAAAGGGAGGCTTGCTGTTGCTGCCTTCTGTCTGCTCTGTCATGCCATGAACTTCTCTTCTGTGATTCCCCTCTGCCATGCCACCCTGCTTTGGAACCAGAAATGCACTTCAGACAATGGACTGAAGCCTCTATAGACTGTAAGCTGAAATAAACCTTTCCTCTTTTAACTGTGGGTGTCAGGTATTTTGTCTCAGCAATGAGAAAAGTAACCAAGACAGATTTTGGTGCAAGAGAACTTGGGTTGTTGCTGTGACACTCCCTGGCCATGAGGTTCAAAGGCCTTTGGATCTGCTTTGCTGGAAGAGTTTGGAAAGGTCTAGAGATGCAGGCTGAAGAAGCAGCCTTGTAATGCTGTAAGTTGAACTTGATGGGAGAGTCTGGCCAGAGCTCAGAAGACCAGAATGCAGAGAGAAATGCTGCTGGTAAAGACTAGACTCAGAAGGTTTCAGTCAGGAACAAGGACTGCATTGGCTGTTGAACTCTGGATCTTGTGTATCATGCTTTAGCAGAAAACATGTCTACATTTTGCTCTTGTCCACAGACTTTGCCTAAAACTGAGATTAAGGGTAACTGACTAGTTAATCTTGTAGAAGAAATTTTAAGGCAGTCTAATGTTGAGACTATGGCATGGCTACTGTTCGGGGCTTTTAGCCAGATCTATTTTGAGAATCAAGAACAAAGGACCCTACAGAATGATTTCAAACATTTTGAGTTTGCCCAGAAAGGAACCTCCAGTAAAGTTGCAGACATCACAAGAACCAGTAGTACTCCACCCTTTGCAGACTCAAAGTTCCAAAAGTCAAAGATTTTCTTTAAGAAGAAAGCCCCTGAGCACCATGTTTTGGAATGGTGTCAGACTAGAGAAGTTGCTCCTTGGGATTTGGTTCATAGTGTTCAACAATCTAGGCACTTGACCCTTGCAGTTGAGAGAAGGAAGCCTGGCTATTGCTCCTGCAGGTGGCAGATGTTGGCAACATCATTCACATGGTGCTAGTTTTAAATGCATACAGAATGCAAGAGTGGTGGCGTCAGGAAGGCTTCCACACAGATTTCAGAAGAAAGCCTGGGAGGCCAGGCACTAGGCCTCTGAGAGGGCTGTGTACAAAGCTGTGAATGTAAAGTTGAATGTTCAGTAGAGATCCCAGAAGGTTTGAGAAGCCAGAAACATGGATCACCTGAAGAAAGCTACAAAGAGTGAGCAAAGCCAGCCCAAGAGAGAAGGCTTGGGAGCTGCAACATCCACAGTGCTGTAAGAGCAGAGCCACCCAAGCACTTTGGAGTTCACATCTTGCCACAAGCTCCCTCAGATGCTAGACATGGAACTATGGGGCTTAATATTTGCCTTGCTGGATTCTGGACTTGCTTTGGTTCCACTCCTTTCTATCCTCCTCTTTTTTGGAATGGGAATGTTTAACTTGTGCTACTGTATGTTGTAAGTATTTAACTTTCTTTTCTTTTATAGAGGGGCCCATGGCTAAGTGTCTGCCTCAAATCTCAGAGAAGACTTTGGATTTGGAATGTTCAGCAATGCTGAAACTGTTAGGACTTTGGCAACTCTTAAGAGATGAACTTTTGCATAAGGGGATGTGCATGAGTCTTTTGGGGGCCAAGTGTGGAATATTTGGCTTGTATCCCCCCAAAGCCTCATGTAGTCATAGGAGGTAGTTTCAAAGGTGGCTGGATTAGGGTGTGTAAATGTGGATTAAGGGTGTGATGCTAGGCTTAAGAAGATGGCTAACAGAAGCTCCACCTTAGGTGTGAGTGGTACCAATTAACAGGCTTACAGCCTGGATGGAATATAAAGGCACAGGAAAAAAAGGCAGGCCTATTGCTGCTGCTGCTGCTGCTGCTGCTTACTGCCTTCTGCTTGTGCTGCCATGTCAGCCTACCTTGCAGCCAGCTGAAACATCTATTGACTGAACAGAGTCAACCTCTAAACTATTGACTGAAACTTCTACAAACTGTGACCTGAAATAAATCTTCCCTCTTTAAAATATAGGTGTCGGATATTTTGTCTCAGCCATGAAAGAAAGTAACTAAGATCATCCTTTAATTCTTTTAAAAAGTAAAATGCTTTGTAGATGGATTAAATGTGGAGGGTGGAGAATGACCAGTCAAGGATGTCTGTGTAGTTTTTGGTCTGATCAAGTAGAAAACTAAATCTGCTATTTTTAAGATAGAGAAATCCAGAAGAGCAGATTAAACAGATTAGTGGATAGAAGTGGACACTGGAGAAAACAAGTTTTAGTTCTTGTCAGTTTTAAGTTTGAGATATTTATGGACATCCAAGTAGAGATTCAGAAGGGACAAGGGATGTAGCAGTATGGATTTTGAGGGAGAAGCTGGACAAGAGATGTAACATTGGGAATAATCACCATACAGGGAATATATAAAGCCAGGAGATTATATAAGATTGCTTAGGGAATGAGGAAGGAGAGAAAAGAGGCTTGAGTTCTAGACCTTGGACAACTATATCCTTTAGAGGTCAGAAACTTGAGAAGGAATAGCCAGCTACATAGAAAGAATCAAAAGAAAGTTTTAAAGTCAAGTAAAGAAAGTGTTTAAAGGTAAACAGTGTGACTGAACGCTGCCCCATGTTGCTGACAATCTGAGTAAGAGAAGTGGTCACTGTACTGGCAAGATAGAGTCACTGCTCATAGAGGAATGACTGGGCAAAAGCCTGGTAGAACAGAACTGAAAGCCAAACAGAAAGAGGAGTTGGAGACAGTAAGCATATGCAATGTTTCTAAAAAATTTCCTTAAAAGGAGGCAATAACTGAAGGGAATATAAAGCCACATGAATTTCTGCTATTTATGTTGGGAGCTAGCTGTATACTGGTAGAACAGTTCAGTAGGGGAAAACTGTTATGATTTTACGTGACTCGGGAGAAAGAAGTGATTACTGCGAAAGTAAAGTCCCTTGTAGGCAAGAAAAGGTAGGATGATATAAGCAGGGTTTTTCTCATTCTTCCCCTAGTTACCTCAGAGAAAGGTTGATGACAAGATCTATGGCACTGAAAAGTAAACTTTTAGTGCTAAGAATGTAGCTCAGTGGTAAACGGCTTGCCTGCAATGTATGAGGCCATGGGTTTAATCACCACACCAAGAAAAAAAAAGTAAAGTTTTAGAAACAAACATAAGCAAATACATAAGCAAAGATTTGATCAGAATTTATGTAAAATTCTCATTAAGACAGTAACATTCATCCCTTCTAGATTTCTGAGATTGTGTGTGTGTGCTTTGAAACAAGGTCTTGCTATTAGTCCAGGCTGGCCTTGAACTCATGGCAATCCTCCTGACTCAGCCTCCTGATTAATCTTCCTGATTCTTCCTTCATATCATGTAAAAATTAAGCTATGTGAAATAAATAACGTGATGTCTATTAAAACATTTTTTTTCTGTTTTCTAAATAACCATTTTTCCTTCCCTTATGTCTATTTCTCATGTCCTATTATTATCATTAAGATTCTTTATAAATCACAATGACCTAATTTTAGAATATCTTAAGATTATTTTTATCAGTCAATGGAAAACTAGCTTAAAGTTTCTGTTTTCATTCATGTCCAATTTTAAACATAATCTTGGACAAAAGAGAGCTTTTCAAACCTCAATACTTCCTTTGTTCTGAATCTACCCTGACTTTTGAGTCTTTGTGGGCTTTGAACAGAAATGAAAAAAATCAAAACCAATGTAGTCAAATATTTTAAAAACCACAGAAATGTAAACAACAACTGCCAATGACCACCATATCCACACCTGGAAAACTCAGGAATGTTGTAAAAAAAAAAAAAAAAAGAAAAGAAACAAATTGGGTGGTAAATAACAATTACACACAGTAGGCACTAAACACAGACTTGGAAATCGAGACTGTCTAGACTGAAGGGTGACGAATGGGAAGAGAGCAGTCATTTCAACCAGCAACACACTGTGTACTATTTTCTCAGTACTAGTTTTCAAGATACTCATAGAACAGTCAATTCCATTATCTAATCTGTCTCCTCACTTAGCTTTATTTATTTTTTGCTTCATGGTGCTTTTATCATGTCCAAAATATTCTACACTTGGGGGAAACCAAAGAAATTGCTAAGCTATAATCACAAGAAAAAAAAAAAAAAAGAAGGAGAAAGTCAAACATTTAATAATCATAGTTGTAGTTAGAGAACAGTGATACAAAAAACCCATAGGAGAACCATGATTTTAATGAGCAGTATTACAACATACATCATTGGCCATAGGGATATGTTTCTTTGGCAAGACAAAGAGCTTTTGATTTTTCAATTGCATAATAATTTAAATGAACTTTAACTACCACTAAAAATGGCAAGCAGCTTTGGTAACCCCTAACTGCAAGATATCTAAAGAAGTCCCAACATAGTCCATTTAGCTTAACAAGATTAATAAAGATGTTCAGCATAAAAAATACCATTATTTGTTTAGAATAGCATACAGTAATGATTAACTTAAAGATCACATTATTGTAATTTATTAATTCTTTATTTTTCCAGAACAGCTCACCTGGTACAAAAAATTCTGTTGGCACAAACCAGTGAAATTCCAAATGAAATCCCAACTGAATAGACTTCAAAGTGACTAGAAAAATCAAATAGAGAACAGATACCGTGCCTGGAAGAAAAAAATTCAGAAGCAATTAACTTTTATGATCAGACTACTTTAAACTTAAATTTAATCTCCATATACTCAAGAAAGTATAGCACATTATTACCTTCACTGATTATTCCCACTAAAACTCAGCTGGGACTTGAGGAACAGAAATGAGTTATGTGAGTTCACAGAAAAAAAAAAAAAATCTACGTAAAGAACTGGATGAAGGTAGCTTATATACTGCTAAATGCAAAACTGTTTAATTTACTTATGTACTGAGGTTGGTGGAAGATAGAAGTATGGGTAAAGAAAATGTGGTTATTTATATACAATGGAGTACTACTCTGCCATAAAGAAGGCCAAAACTGAGTTTTTTGTAGGAAAATGGATGCACTTTCAGACTGTAATGTTAAGTGAAATAAATCAGATATACAAGTTTAAATACTGCATGGTTTATCTTATATGAGAGACCCAAAATATAAATAAAGATCAAAGTAAAAAATAGATAATAGGAAGTAGGGAGATAGATTTTTTTTCAAATGGGAAGGGAATCAAGAAATGGAAGAAGGGCAAGGGAGGAGAGGAAAAGGGAGCAAAAAGAGAATTGAGATGTGCTATGTACATGAATCAACTCCCCACAAGGAATATAATCATTATGTATGGCCAATGTGTGCAGAAAGAGTCCATCATTAAACTGTACAGTTACACAGAAGAATAAAATAACACGAAACCAACTTTTATTCTTGGTATTAGGTGTTAGAGATTATGGAGAAAGCTGGAAAGGTCTGTCACAATAGTTAACGTGAAGTGATAAGAAACGAAAATAGTGAATGTGGATCATGAACATTTAAGGAAAGTGATAAGCTACACAATTTATGAATAATCTGATCTAGTAGCTATATGAGGTTCTGACTGGGTAGTACTACTTCACTGATGGAAACATTCCAGATTCCACTCCAGGTATTACAGACAGGGTAAAGTAGGCATGCAGCATGTTCTGGCAATGTAGAAGTTCAGGAGAATGATTCCTTTTGATGATGTAAGTCCAGTCATGGAGCACAGTCAGGAGACCTAGGGATATCCCATGATGTTAGTTCTTCTAAAAAAGTTCAAAAACAGAGAAAGTACCAAGGAAAAGGCAAAAGGAAAATATGCTTAAGGAGTTGGATTATAATCCATCTGGTTAGAAATTTGCTGATTGTTTTGCCCAACTGAGCAAATCCTTCTATAAGTTTATATGCTTTTAAAAGACTTGTTCCACTGGAAAGTCAGCAAGCAAATCAGGAAACCACAAATGAGCTGTATAAGCTCTATTGTGGGTTTAGAGATTAGCTAATTCAGAAAGGATGAAAACAAGAGACGAAGGCTTATATAACCACAACGCTTCATTTTCTGTTTATAGCAGCTTACAGTGAGGCAAATGGCATAAAGAAGTATTTTTACTTCCTCTTTCTGTCTTCTGGAAAACCATCTACATTTGGGTTATATGTTTTCTGGATCATCGATGTGACAGATAATCTGATTGTTTTATACTACATAGGCTGCTTACTAAAAGGTCAGGTTTATAGAGAGGAGGTAAAATCCTACAGTGTATTTGGATCCATCAATTTTCTTATCCTTGTATTTTCTTTAGTTAATCAGATTTGAGCTCTCGCTGGGAGCTCCTTTTGCCATCTTAAATGGTATGAAAACATTCCTTTGGTGGTTTCTGAAAAACAGGACTCACAGAAACAGGGCTGATCCTTTAAGGAGGGAAGAAGATTCTAAGAAAGAACCAGAACCAAGGAACAGAGTAAAAGCAGAATAAATCTAAGAAGCTTGAGTTAGAGAATGATCTCAGGTTTAAAGTCAGATGACAGTTCCGTGCAACACTCTTAAAGGGAAACAATACCAAAAAAAATAGATAAATTCCTTTAGTAAGTTCTAGTGTCTTCAACCCTTAATAGTGAGGATTCCTATAACCATTTGCAATTCCCCTAAAATTTGGTCTGTTTTCTCTAGTTATGGCCTAAGAAGAAAGAAGGTAGAGTTGTTCAGTAAGGTAAGAATGGGAAATCAAATAACTCATCTCTCAAAAAGCCAAAAAGGGACTTGAAATGGAAACGATCATCTGTATTTTTCTTTGTACCACCCTGCATATTAACAAAAACCAGGGTAGTATACAATTGAATAAGTTAAACATAAAGACCAGGCCTGAAAGGTAACTCTCTCCCCAGTTAGACCATAGTACTGCAGAATCCAGCATATATTCCACTATACAGATATTCTGTAATTTGGCATCATACCTTACCTAGGATATTAAATTTTGAAAAAAATGAAGGAGATTTGAAATTCAGCAATGGCAGGAGGAGCCCTATTAGGTAAAAGGGCACTGTCTTGGATCTATTCCACCACTTTTCAAACTGCTGGACTGCTGTGTCATTGGCGTAGAAAATCATGGAGTCATTGTCAGAATGGCCTCCACTCCCAGGACTTGGGCAAATCACTGCAATGGAAAAGCATTGTGTTAGAGAAGACCGCAAAAGCAGAAAATCAACTCCTTGGAGAGAGATGTTTGCCTTTTACCATGAATAAGTTTCTCCTTTCTGAAAAAAAAACACAGGGCTATTTTTAGGTACATTACAAATCTTTGACCTAAAAAATAAATGATTAAAGGTGAGAAAATCTTGAAAGTTTTGAGGTATATCTTTAACCTCTGCTGGAGGCAGAAATAAAAATATCCCACCAAATATTGCTTCATTCCATCAGCGGAAAGAAAATATTGGGCTGATGGTATTTGGTTTTATTTTTATAACACGTAAGAAATATAATTCAGGGTAATTAATGGTTTGTTACACTAGTAGCTAAAAAGTCAAAAGGCAGATTTCTTTTAATAACAAACCTAATCATCGATGAAAATGCAACCCAAAATAATTCTGGAAATTTATCATACTTGTAAGATGCCTGAGAGCCTAGATAATATTCAGACAACTGGGAAATCAGTAGATGTACTTTTTGTAACACTGACCTACTGGTGGCAATTTTGTCTGTTATCAGAGTACAAATCATTCTTAGTAATTTCACAAAAGAGCTTACTATTCTATTTGGTTTCACAATACAGCATTTGTTAGTAATCAGCTCTGTATAAAAAACTGTTCATCTCTAATTATTTAGAAGAGATAGAAGGGAATTAGAATGGATATAGTTTCTTTAAAAATGTTGATTATTCATTAGCAAATACAGATACTCTGGATACAATTGTGAGTTGTAATAAAACAAATTTAGTATCTCTAATCCAAAATGCTTGGGACCAGAAGTGTTTCAGATTTTGGAGTTTTTTCCTTTTCTTTTGGAATATTTGCATAGATTTTACTGACTATACCCTGACTGGTTTGGTTTTATGGTGCTGAAGATTGAATTAGGGCAAATACTCTATCACTACATTATATTCCCAGCTCCTAACCGGTTCTGGAGCCCTTCAAATTTTGGATTTTTGGATTAGGGATGCACACCTGTATGGACTAAATGTTGCCCAGCTCACATTAACACAATCTTTTTGGGAGTCTCTTCGTAAAGTATCAGTTAGTAACAATTTGGTAGCATCTCAGTTAACACAATAACGATTTTTTTACTAAACATTTTTCTAAAATAAGATCATATATTCTAATTTAAGTCTTTGGAAGAAGGTGGGGAACAAAGAAACAAACTGAATTACAAAGTCCTTACCAAGGTTGCTATTATTGGCTCCCAGTATAGTGTCTGTGTCATTAATGTGGTGAACAAAATCTAAAAATTAAAAACAAAAACATAGTTTAACAATGAACAAAAGATGCAAAATCCTACCTAGTGTCATTTATAAAAACTTAAAATATATCTATTGTGTATAATAGTACACTGAACTAGTATTTTTTTCTTGTTAACATAGGTTTCCCTTCTACGGTTTTGTTCACTTACAGGAATAAAAAAGTCATGAGTCTGACAGTCCCACTGTGGAAAATTTTCATTTGAATAAAGATTTTTAAGAAGCTACCCACAAGGCTAAATCAATGACAGCCGAAAGCTCTGGAATGAAGAAAATGGGCACAATTTTTTTCTCTTATACTCACACAAATTTAGTTTTTATTATAGTTACATTTCACAGAAAGTTCTAAGACATGTAAAAAGGAGAAACCAACACTTATACACAGCAAAGCTTACCTAGAATATCACTTAAAGCTCCAAGGATTTATGGTAATTCTTATGCTCATAAGTTCAGACTAAAGGAAGCGGCAAAAAAAAAAGTATATGCAGATACCTGAACGCTGACATCATCTATCATGAATTTGAGAATAGGTAAAGAATGTGCTTTTTTGCTGACCTTTAGGGGTTTATTTTATTCTGCATATTTATAACCTCAGCATTAATGGATGTATTTATTGTTGTAAAAACTTAAATAAGATATACTGAGTTATGCTTTAAGGTAATAAAGTTAAACAGGTGCCTGACTCATCTCCACTGTACTGTATGTTTCTCAAGACAGAATAAAGGCAGCAGAATAGTGCTGTAGGATTTTACAATATCTTCAAAAGTTCTAGTGATTCACAATTAGAAGTTATGAAATTTTATGTCATTTCTTGGTGCCAGATACTTACATAAAGCTAGTAAAAACTTGACAGCAAATCTACTGGGTTGAAGTGGGTCCCTCCCAAAATTTATGTCCACCAGGAACCTTAGAATGCTACCTTATTTGGAAGCAGATATAACCAAATATATACAAGATATAACCAAATCAATACAAGGTGATACTGGATTACAGTGGGCTCTACAGTAAAAGACTTGCGTCCTTATAGGAAAATAAAATCTAGACACACCGATGTAGAAGACAGACACAAGGAGAAACTGGAGTGATACAACTATTTGTCAAGAAATGCCGGGGTTACCAGCAACTGACAAGGGCTTGGAAAAGCAAAGGATTCCTTTTTTTGGTACAGGGAATCAAATTCACAACCTCATGCCTGCCAGGCAGGTGCTGTGCCACTGAGCTATATCCCCAGCCCAGAATACCTCCTAAAAGCATTCAAAGGAGTAGAGCCCATTTTGATATTGAACTTCCTGTCTCCACAATTCTGAAAGAATAAACACCTGTTGTTTTAAACCTGTAATTTTTGGTAATTTGCTACAGCAGCCCTAGGGAGCTTGTGCACAAGGCTCAAGGATCTAGTAAGAAATAGGACAACTGGGGCTGGGGATTTAGCTCAGAGGCACAGTGCCTCCCTGGCAAGCAGAAGGTCGTGAGTTTGATTCCTGGTACCGGAAGGAAAAAAAAAGAAAAAAGAAATAGGACAGTAACTCTTAGGAAAAGATGCAAAAGTTCTAAACAAAGTATTAGCTTCTACTTCTCCAAAAAAAGTGAATTCAATTTAGTAAGGAATGAAAAAAATACATCACGACTAATTAAATTTCCCCTCGAATATGTGTAATAATAGTTTAAATGTTATAAAGTATATTCATTTAATTCACCATATTAGTAATTTAAGGAGAAAAACTGATTATGTAAAGAGATGTAGATTAAGTACTTGGTAAAATTCAAAACACATTAATAAAAATGCTCAAGAAAACAATATGCAGAAGTGTCTAAACAATGAAGCTGGGTGTGGTGGCACATGCCTGTAATCCCAATACTCAGGAGGCTGAGGCAGGAGGATTGCAGACCCTGTCTCAAAAAAAAGAAAGAAATAAATGTGTAAATTATTAAAGGCTACAACCAATACTCCATACCAAACATAATATTTAATGGTGAACATTACAAAAACTTTCTCAGGAACAATATAAGAATGTCTACTTCTTACATTGGAAGAAGGTATGTAGCACTACTTCTATGCAGTTTATACTTTTAAAAAAAGGTATATAAGTCTCTGCATACCTGTAGGTTTGTGGATATTTGTATGTGTACATGTATACAAATATGAATGTATGTATATAAATACAAACCATTTAAAAATAATAACTAGATGGAACAAGTTCCTTCATTCATGGATAATGTGACTATATAAAAAGCCTAAAGTGTATCTATAAAATTATTAGAATCAACAAGAGTTTGGCAAGTTTGCTAAATTCAGAATAAACATTTAGAAATTAAGTTTCTTAGCTGGGGATGGTAGTGTACTGTAACATGAAAACTCTAGGTGACTTGGGTAGGAGGATAGCAAGTTCAAGCCCAGCCTGGGCAACTAAGTGACTTAGCAAGACCCTGTATCAAAATTTTAGAAAGTTTTAAAAGGTCAGGGGATGCAGCTCAGCATGAAAGCCCTAGGATTAATCCTCAGTACTGTAATAAACAAACATAAAATAAAAATAATTCCAGGTACCCCCCAAAAAAGAAAAAGAAATTAGATTTCTTTGCAATACCAACAAATAATTTGACTATATAATTAAAAATCTCTTTTTCTGGAGAGATAGAATTCTTGTTTCTTGAAGGAGTTATACAAATATATCCATTTGTCAAAACTGTATGGCAAAGATTTGTGTATTTCAGTGAATAAATTTTATCTAAAAAAGAGAGTTATGCACATAACAGCTGAATGGTGTGGAGAGTGGGTATAGCACGAATCTTGCTTTCTGAGTGTATGTGATTTTGCTCCCAAGGGGAGAACACTTTTTTGGAGGAGGAAAAAAGTCTTTTTACATATAAAGCACAGATATGTACACAGTTCATAAACATATTTACAATACACCTGTGATATTAAAATTTCATGGGAGGGGAGGCTGGGAGAAAATGTCTGCAAGGTTCCATTAGGAGGCAACTGAAAAAAAAAAAGATTCAGAAACACTACCGCACATGACTCCACAACAGCAGGCTGCAGAGGAGTGTTGAAGAAAGGTGAGGAAAATACAGGTTCCTTATTTTATTCTGCCTACTTCGCACATATTTGAAACTTTTTATAATGTGTGTGCTCCTAAGAAATTAAAACTACATTTATAAAAAATTTAAAGTACTTAAGAAAATCTTTCAAGTACATATGAAAGACCTTAATCAAGTAAAGATATCTGAAAAAGACTTAAATGGAACTATGCCATGCCATGTTCATACAGAGGAAAACTCAGTATTTTGATGATATAAATTCTCTCCAAATCCAATGCAAATCTAATCAAATTCCAAACTTGGGACCCAAATGGCATCAACTATCGTATATTTTTCAACATATCAACTCAAAGCAATTTCAATACAATCCTAATTGGATTTTTCTGGACTATGTGATTCTAAAAGGTATATAAAAAGAGTTATGTACCACAATGAAAACAGTGACTGAGTAATTTGGAAGTAAAAAGTTCTGAATAGAGGTAATATATACAAAGTGAACACAAGTGGCTAACTAGAAGATATGTGTAATACAAAGGTAGATAAACAGTATATAACCTTTACAAGTTCCCATAAAAATGTAAGAAAATGACCAACAACCCAACAGAAAAATAGGTAAGTAAAGAGTAACATATTTGATGGTTAATATTTTTTTTTGTACCGGTGAGTGAACTCAGGACCTTGTGCTTGCCAGGCAGGCGCCTACGCCACTGAGCTATATCCCCGGCTTGATGGTTAATACGAGTTTTAAAGGATGTCTAATGTTATCCTTATGAACAGCAATGCAAATTAAAACCATATCCCTTTAGGATAAAATCTGATAACATCATGTGTGAGAGAGAATGCAGCACAAGGGAAAGTTTCATTAATTGTTGTCATGAGTTTAATGGTACAAGTATGATAAAGAATAATTTGACAATTTCTAATTCGGTTGGAAAAATACACATTTCAAATCCCAGAAATGTGTTAACAGGTACATAGCTTAGAGAAACTTGCATATGTATACAAGGAGACAGGAATAAGCCTTGCCTGTAATAGCAAAATAAGTTAAATGTCATCAACAAGGGAATGCATAAATCCCAGAACTCAGGAGGCTCAGGCAGGAGGATTGCCAGGAGTTCAAGGCCAGTATGGGCTGCATAGCGAGTTCAAGGTCATCCTAAACTGCATGTGAGATCCTGTCTCAAAAAAAAAAGTTGTGATATATTCAGATTACTGAACAGCACAAAGCAGTTAAAATGAACTATTTGTGTTAATAAAGATGATAGTGGGAAGCAAACTGCAAAAGCATTAATATGGCTTACAAACACCTTAAGATATGTTTGGTGTGTTGGTGCACACCAGTAATCCTAGCCCTCAGGCTGAGGCAGAGGACTGCAAGTTCAAGACCCTCTAGGCTAAGTAAGAGTTCAAGAACAGCCTGGAACGCAGAATGAGACCTTGTCTCAGAAAAAGCAAAAACAAAACAAAACAAACCACAAAAGACAACACTACATGTTGCTTATAGTTATACAGTAAAAGAATAAGCATTAATGATAAAACACCAAATTTAGATAAGAAGGAAAATGGAAGAGCACATGTGGGCTTCAACTATATCTGCAATGTTCATTTTTATAAGAATAGCAAACTAATGTAATTACGATAAAATGTTTAAAACACTAAAGTGCATTCATTAATGAGTATGTTGGTTTTTATTAATTCAGAATTTTTTGTAGTTTGAAATAATTCATAATTTTTTAGATAATAAAAATGCTTGTTAGTAAAAACAAAATCCTAATTTTCTTTTGTTTTCTTTTTTTTTTTGGTACTAGGAATTGAACTCAGAACCTTGCGCTGGCCAGGCAGGCGCTTGTGCCACTGAGCTATATCCCCAGCCCAATCCTAATTTATTTTTTCTTTCTTTTTTTCTTTCTTTTTTTCTTTCTTTCTTTCTTTCTTTCTTTCTTTCTTTCTTTCTTTCTTTCTTTCTTTCTTTCTTTTATTATTTTAAAGAGTTAAAGAAGGATAACATAGTAATGGTGGGTTACCAAATTACGGAAAGAGTCGTAGGAAATTTCAATGGTTGTTGTTTTACATATTGTTATCTACAAGATAGTTTCTCAGGAAAACAGACAAACAATGGTGACAGAAGTGGTAGGTTATTATCCACGGTTGTTATACTATACTTTGGTATCTTCAAAGTAGTTTCTAAAGAAAATAAATAGAGCTATACATGCGTGACCAATTGAATATTCATTGACTATTCTCAATGGTTGTAGGAAACACATAGTAATAAACATAGATCCATTTACAAAATAGCATAGGAACAATAAAAACATTACAGAGTTATGGACAGATTAGTAGGAAAATATCAATGGCTGCTGTAACACATGGTGGTATCTTCAAAGTAGTTTCTCAAGAAGACAGAGATACACAAGAAAGATCTAACAAGTAGCTACAGCTAATGGTTGTAAAAAATGGCGTATTACCTCCTCACCAGTGACTCCTTTCATTGAGGTGTGACAGCTGGAAGGCAGGCCAGGACCTAATTTTCTTTAAAGTAAAAATAGAACTTTTCCCCTTCACTAAGCACTCTTCAGGAAATTAGCTATTGTGATTGTTAGAATTCACTTTGATATTTGGTTTTCAGGTAGGGATTACTTATGGGCAGCTAAGCACAAACTAAACTTTAAGGCTATCAGTCTTCAGAAAAAAGAATTGGGATCTTATATAATATAAAATGAATTTCCTCTATCCAACTTAAAAATATTACAAAAAATATCTGGAGCTAGGCATGGTTGTGTTTGCTTATAATCCCAGGCCTCTGGGAGGCTGATTCAGGAAGATTTCAAGTTTGAGCCTAGCCTAGGTAACTTAATAAGATTCTGTCTCAAAATAAAAAATAAAAAATAAAACAGGATTAACATGTAGCTCAGTATAAAATCACTGGGTATAATCTCCAATACTGAAAAAAAATGAAAATTTGGTTTGCATTTTGAAGGCTGTTCAGAATTCAAGTAGTTTATTTAGGCAGATTACAACTCTGTGGTATGTAAAAGATGTATTTACCATACAAATTCCATTTCTCTGCTATTTCCTAATTTTAGTCTAATGTGTCTAAAATAAGTGATTGAAATTTTTTCCCTCTAGTATCTACACATCAGATTCTTTAGCAATAAACATCAATGATTTTCATAAACTTTAAAATAATAAAATTTGGTGGTAAAGGTTGAAACAATGCTTGTAACATCTGCTAAAGTATGGAAATATTTATATTAATTAGAGATTTTGCAAAACTATTATTTGTTCAAAAATTGTTTGGAAATGAACATAACACATATTGTATTTGAGAACACGACCACAGAAAACAAACTGAATTAAGTATATTTTTCAGCGTTACATCACATACTTACTTTGCTTTTTATTTTGTTTGTTTCTGAGACAGGGCTTGCTATATAGCCCAGTCTGACTTTGAACTCACAATCTTCCTGTTTCAGCCATCATTCTTGGCCTATTTCTTTACTTTACATATCCCAAGTCCTAAACTTTAAGGCTGGAACTAAAACCATTACAATAATAATTGTATTTGAAAACAACTATTTTGGTAGCACCTGCCTGGTAAGTGCAAGGTCTTGAGTTCAATTTCTGGTACCCAAAAGAAAAAAAACCAAACAAACCAAAAAACCCTCCAAAAACTAAGTTAAATCATATAATAATGGTACTTACTAAAAATAAACTTTCCAGTATTGAAGAGAAAATTAGACATAAGCACCCAATAAACTATCATTGCTCCAACCAGAGACACCAAGGAGCAAAGGAGACTTGACCACTGACCAAAGGAACCAAAATAATATCTGCAGACATCTGGATATTCCCAGGTAGTAGTATTCAATGAATCTAGATAAAAATGAAAGAGAAAGGATAAAAATAAATGTTGACCATATATTCGATATTCATAATTTGTGTTCCCCAAATTAACTCAAGATATTTATCAAAAGATTACAGGTACTTTACCACCAGATATTGGAACACATTATGATATAATAGCAATGGAAACATCATAGAACAAACATAAAAAAGAAATGTCAATCAGTGAAAAAATGTAAGTAATCCAAAAAACATAGCGTCATAACCTTTCATAATTAATAAAGTAAAATGATAAACAAGGCTTGACAAACCCATTGGAATGGGACAAAAAACATTATTTAGTATTTGCCATATTCAGGTAACAATATGGAGGAAAGTTCTCTCGAGTCATGCCACATGTCAATTAATTTTAGATAACTGAGTTAAGAATTTAAAAAACTAAATAATAGAAAAGTTAGAAAACTGTAGAAATAGAATAGGAAATTAAATAACAGAAAAGTTAGAAAACAGCGTAGAAATAGAATAGGAAAATTACATTTTTTTATCAACTAAAGAAACAGAAATTACAGGGGCTGGGGATTTAGCTCAGCGGCAAAAG